CAACTTATATATATATCAAAACATAAGGTTAACTACTCTGAAGGGATAGAATATGACTCTAAAAATGAAAAATAAAAAAGATTTTTAAAAAAGGGATTGATAAGATGGTTGAAAAAGGGAAAAAGAAAAATTAAAAAAAAGAACAAAAAGAAAATTAATAAAATTACCTTTGAAAGACTAAAGAATCAGGAGGAAAAAAGCCATGAATTCTATGTGCTGTATTCCCCTAGCACTGGCGTTCTGTGTTCTCATTGATCGGTAAACTTGGCCTTGGCTGGCTGTTCCTGCTGATCTTCTGAGGGAGGGGCCTCTTGCCGTGGTTCTCAAGTGTCTTTGCCGAAGGCGTAATTGCCCTGCCCTTGCCGGTTGGGGCTAAGTAATCCGCTCGGGTTTGCTCTCGGGAGCTTTTGTTCCCTGCAAGCTTTCAGTACAGCTTTGATGGACGAGAGCGAAAATGGTGGCCTCCCAATCTCCGCCCTGGAGGAGCCACGAACTTGGGGCCTCGCTCCTCAGTGAGCCCCCAGAGAAAAGCAGTCAATTACTCCCGTCTCTGTGGTCTCCAGCCGCACTCCGTGCTCACTGGGCCTGTGACCAAGCGTTTCTATCTCTGGCACCCGACTTGGTGTGGAGTCTCCAAACCCAGCAGATGCCTGCAGTGCGCTCCCGCGCCACTCCTCCCCAGGGAAGAAGAGGAGTCTCCCCGGATCTGCCGCTTGTTGGGTCCCTGCTGGAACAGCAATGGCCTGACTGTGCTGCAGATCATGGTTGATGGCAACCCTGAGCTGAGAGCCTGCTCCTCGGCTCCATCTCTGCAGCCAGCTTCCCTGCTCCAATACCGGGAGCTCTGCTGCACCGTGGCACCCCTGGTCTTTCTGTGACCCTGAGGGTCCTGAGACCACACTGTCCCACGAGGGCTCCACCCCTGCTTAGCCACTGGAGCGACGTCCCTCAACGGAGCTGACTTCTAAAATTTCCGATTTTGGGCTCTGCTGCTCTATCATTTGCCGGAAGCGGCCGATGGAGGCCACCTCCCCCGCCGTCATCTTCCCAAAAATCACCTCAGATTCACTTCTCCGCATGTCCTACCTTCCAGAAAGTGGTCGCTTTTCTGTTCAGAGACTTGCTGCTATTCTTTTCTTTGATCTGCTATTGAGTCCGTAGGTGTTCAGAATGGTTTGATTCCTATCCAGCTGAATTCCTGGGACAAGACGAAATTTAGGTCTCCTACTCCTCCGCCATCTTGCTCCTCACCCCGCCTTTATTTTTCGAAGCATAATTTCACTGCATATGGGATCTTGGGTTGACAGATTTTTTTTCTGTCAGTACTATATATAGCTATTACTCCAAAGTCTTCTAGCTTCCATGGTTTCTGAAAGATGATCTTTTGTAACTTTTATCATTGGTTCTCTACATATAATGTGTCATTTTCTCTGGCTGCTTTCATAGTTTTGGATGCTGTGTTTGTTTTTTTTTCTTTCCTTCTCCAATTCTTTTTTGTTTGTTTGGATATTTTTTATTGACTTATTTCAAGTTTACTAATCTTTTCCTTAGTTCTTTCAAGCATATCCATTAGCGCATCCAAGAAATTCTTCATCTCTGTTGCCATGTTTTCTATTTCCAGCATTTTCAGATGACTCTTACACTTTCCATCTTTCTGTTTTGGTACCCCATCTGTTCATGCCTGTTGTCCCCCTTTTTCTCTAAATATTTTACCTTAATAATTATAATCATTTTCAAGTCAGTCTGATAATTCTGATAATTCTATTATCCTTGTCATCTCTGAATCTAATTATTTTAATTATTTTCTCTCTCGACAATGGGTTCTTTATTCCTTGTTATTTTCCCCTGAGTATCGTGGCTTTGAATTGTATTTATGCCTTAAAGTGGGCATGCCTTTTCTGTCAGACTGTTAGTGTTGGAAATTAAATTATCATCAGGTCAGAAGTTCAGATAGGTTTGGATATTGTTTTGGCCATCATTATCTTTAGTGCATCACAGTCTTCAAATTCCTCCAAATTCCTCCAGTGGGCTACTGCTGCATTGTATTTAGGATGGATGCAGGAGTATCAGAAGTTTTTTCCAGTGTTTTGCTACCCCTTTAGCCATTTCCATTTACTTACTCCACAGGGGGCATCTCTCCATATGCTCTTGCCCTTTCCCCTACAGTAGACTATTGATGCTTATTTCTTGATTCTACGTTTGTGGCAGGGGCAAGGGTGTTTTGTTGTTTTCCTGCCCTTCATCTTTGACAGGAGCTGTCCATCTGGGCCTTATGGATGAGGTTTGCTCAGAGTTCTTAGGCCCTTCTTCCTATAGAAGTAAATTTGCCTTGTATCTCTGATAGGTTTCCATCCCTTCCCTAGTTATGAAAGGCCTTTGATTTGAGCAAAGGATGTTGGCTGAAGATGGTTTCCTGTCCCTCTTTCATGGGTAGAGGTTTTTTTTCCTTTAACCTTTTCCTTAGCTGCAGTGGATCTTTGCCTTTGCCCTGGGGATGACAGAGTTTCCTTCTTCTCCCTATGGTTTATAGCTTTGACATTTTTAGGAGACATAGTCTGGGGAATGTGCCTGTACCTCAGCAAACCTCTAGTTAACTCTTTTACACCTACACATGTGTACCCCGAAGAGTTGTTTGTTCTTATGCCCTGCTCCCTATCTTCCTCATAAGTAACCAGTAGAGGCCTGCAGAAAAGTGCTTGTGAGTGAATGTGAACTTTCCTTGTGCCTGGGCCTCTAGGTATTCCAGACTGTCAACGTTAGCCCACACTTGGCCTTTTACAATTTGTTAAAATTTTAACTGATTTCTCTTACCTGCTTGAATGGTGGCCCCTCTTTCTCCTTCTCTTCTGCCCTACCAACAGTGAAACAGTGTATTTCATTTCTCTTTGGAGGGGCTTGCTGTTCTTTGGAGTTCAGATTATTATTTGTTTGCTTTATATCCTCAACTCTCTGATGGGCTCAAGAAAAGTTATGATTTTGTAGATTAGTTAGCCTTTTATCATTTTTAGTTTGGGAGTGACATTATTTACAGTTTTGTAAGTCCTAAGCAGAGTTAATTATAGTTTTAAAACATTTTTAAATTTCCTTTATGAAGATAATGGGAGTGAAAAATTTTATCAGTATTTATTTTTAAAGAGTAAATAATACCTTTTTCTAGGCAACTTTTTTCTCATTTTTTTGGTTTGTTTTTAAGATAAAAATTGGCCTTACTTTTATTTGTACAGCCTTATTTGCTAGGCTCCTAATATTTCACAGTGTTTTTAAAGCCAACTAATATCCAGACTGTTGAACAGATTTAAACAATTAGTGAGAGCACTCATCCAGTGTTTTCCCCTCTGTTTGGATTCTTAAGATCATTCCAATTGAGAGTTGTCTCAATGATTTGAAATTCATAGATTTTGGCTGTACTGTGTAAGTCAAATCAGCTCAGTCTATTTCTGAAGCTAAACCTTTGAAAAATAATATTTTAAATATTTTAGGGCATATTATTGAAATATATTACAAATGGTAGATAGAAATTTTACAATTATAACTCAAAGAGATATCTCTATTAACATGTATTGGCCCTTAAATTATCATGTATATCAGAGGGCAGAACTAGTTGCAACACTCTTGTGACGTGCCATGTAGGATATTATTCTATAATCAGAAAATTAAATTTTTATTCTTTATTCTCATTTTATGGATTTTTTGGATATAAAATTGTATATAGATTGTTGTAATTATTATTTTTTTGAGACCATCAGGAAACCAAATTTTTCTTATCTGTTTTCTCTGCAGAAAACTTCATCAGCAGTTTGAAATGTACAAGGAGCAGGTGAAGAAGATGGGAGAAGAATCACAACAGCAGCAAGAACAGAAGGGTGATGCCCCAACCTGTGGTATTTGCCACAAAACAAAATTTGCTGATGGATGTGGCCATAACTGTTCATATTGCCAAACAAAGTTCTGTGCTCGTTGTGGAGGACGAGTGTCATTACGTTCAAACAAGGTACAGAATGAAAACTACACATAATTCAATTATAGTTAAGCTTATAATACAGTCAAGCTAATTGTGAATAAAATAAAGCAGACAATTGAAATTAATATTCAGGTTAACCAATGAACAAAAACCCTCTAGTATCCTCATTTTAGATAAAAGAAATTTTTAATTTTTCCTTTCAGTTAAAGAGATTTGTCTCATTGTTTATGTCCTTTAGCTGATGATTTTGTTTAGAATCATAGGATCTTAAACTTTCAAAGATGATGAAGATAATTTAGAGATCAATTGGTCCAACTCCTTTATTTCACAGATGCAGAAAACTCAGATTCAGGGAGAATTAAGGTCATTCTTAAAGTCACACAACTGATTAATGTTAGAGCAGTGACACTGCTTTTTCCATTACTATACATAATTTTATAACTTTGTAGACCTACTTGTCCTTTGATCTCTGTTTTCTTTCCTTTCAAAGAGGCTCTTCCCAGCTTATAGAATCTGTGTTTTATAATTTTATAGCTTTTAAAGCTACATTACCCTTTATTTTTGTTTTAACATTAATTAAATAAACATTAGACTATGGAATTTAAAGAAATGTTAAGGAGATGTTTTATACTAGAGTTTTGTAGTTTATCCATCCACTTTAGGGAATATGTTAAGGCTGCCCAAGGAATGCTTTGCTGAAATAAGCAAAAATAGTTACTATGTTTTTCTCGGTAAGTTCTTTAGAATTTGCATTTATCTCCTCCCTAGTATTTCATCACTTAATTCTTTACTTAGGCAGCTTTAAAATAGGAAGCTGATGTTTGTACATACATTACTTAGACATAATTATGGGGATTTGTTCTCCTGTGTGATTTCATGTCTCCATTTTCTCACCGTTTCCTGTTTCTCCTTGTTTTGTTTTGCCCAGAATAAATAATTTCCCATTTTTTACCCCTAGTCTTTCCCCCAGTTTACCTGATTATTTTTCTTTTCCTCGACTAGTTCTATTGGCTAGAAACTCCTGCACAGTTCTGAATAGAAATGGTGAGAGCACATATCCCTGTTTTTTTCTTGATCTTAGGGAGGAAGCATTCAGTCCTTCTCTATTAGATATTATATTAGCTGTCGGCTTTTCATAGATGCTATCTATTCCTAATTTGCTGAGAGATTTTTTTGGCTTATTTGTTTGTTTTTACATCAGGAATATGTGATGGAAATTGTCAAATGCTTTCCCTCCATCTATTGAAATTAATCATGTTTTTTCTTTGCTTGTTAATGTAGTAATGAACTACATTGGTTGATTTTGAAATGCTAAACCAACTATATTCCCCCAGACAAATCCCATTTGCTTAAGATGGATTAACCCTTTTATGTAATAATGAGTTTGATTTATTAAAGTTTTGTTTATAACTTTTGCTTCATGAGTGTTAGTGTCTGTAGTTTTCTTTTCTTGAAATGTGTTTCTTTGATTTTGGTATCACAGTAATGCTGGCCTGATAAAATAAGTTGGGAAGTATTTTCCTCTCTTCAGTGTTTTAGAAAAGTTTCTGTAGGATTGGTATTATTTATCCTTTAATGTTTTGTAGATTTTACCAGGGAAGCCATCTGGGCATGCTGTTTAATTTTTGGGAAGGTTTTAAAGTACAGTTTCAATTTCTTTTAATAGGTATAGAATTGTTCAAGTCATTTATTTTTTCTTAAATGAGCTTTGGTGTTTTTTAAGGAATTTCTCCAGATCCTCATAATTTGTCAAATTTATTGGCATAAACCTGTTCATAGTATTCCATTATTATCCTTTAATATCTGTAGATTCTGTAGTGATGCTACCTTTTTCATTTCTGATATTGGTAATTTGCATCTTCTCTCTTTTTTCCTGCTTAATTTGGCTAGAAATATATCAGTTTTAATGATCTTCTCAAATAATGATTTTTTTGTTTCATTGGTTTTCTCAGTTGTTGATTTCATCTTTGATCTTTATTATTTCTTTAATTCTGCTGATTTGGGGTTGAATTTTCTCTTTTTCTGGTTCCTTAAGGTAGGAGCTGAGGTCTCTGCTTTGAGATGTCTCTTCTTTTCTAATATAGGCATTACATGCTGTCAGTTTCCCCTAAGTACTTCTTTGGTGACACCCCCCAAATTCTGATATGTTGTCTTTAATTTTCATTCAGTTTAAAATACTTTCAGGTTTTCCTTTTCTTCTTTGATGCATGAATAATTTAGAAGTATGTTATTTGTTTTCCACATATTTAGGGAGTTTCCAGAGATCTTTATGGTAGTGATTTTTAATTTAATTCTGTTGTGGTCCCAGACATACTTTGAATACCTTGAATCCTTTAAAATGTATTCATACTTATTTTATGATTAGTACATGGTTTATTTTGTTAAATGTCTGTGTGTACTTGAAAAGGATATATATTCTTTAATTTTTTTTTTAAGATTTTATTTATTCATTTGAAGGAGAGAGATAGAGACAAAGAGAGCACAAGCAGGGGGTAGAGGCAGAGGGAGAGAGAGAAGCAGACTCCCCACTGAGCTGGGAGCCTGACTTGGGGCTCGATCCCAGGACCTGGAGATCATGACCTGAGCCAAAGGCAGATGCTTAACGATCTGAGCCACCCAGGTGCCCCTTCTTTACTTTTTGATGGAGTGTTTTTAAATGTCCTTTAAGTCAAGTTGGTTTATAGAGTTCAAGTCCAGTATATCCTTTTTGATCTTTTGCTTATTTATTTTACCAATTATTTAAGAGAAGGATATTGAAATATACAACTATATTTAGTCTGTTTCCTTTTGCAGTTCTATGTATTTTTGTTTTTGTTTTATGTATTTTATTAAGTTCTATTTCTAAATGCATGAACATTTAGAATTATTCTGTTCCTATTAATTAATTGATCCCTTTATAATCATAAAATGGCTTCCTTTATTCCTGGTAATATTCTTTGCTCTGAAATCCACTTTGTCTAATCTTAATAAAGCCACTCTAACTTTCTTTAATAGATAGTATTAACATGGTTTACATTTTTCTCTTTTACTTTAGACTAATTTGTGTCTTCATATTTAAAGTATTTTTCTTATAGGCAGCATATAATTCGGCCTTGTTTTTTTATTCAACCTGATAATCTCTACCTTTAATTGGGGTCTTAGATAATTTACATTTAATATAATATTTGATATGGTTTTTTTGGTTATATCATTTTCCTTTTTTTCTACTTGTACCATCTGATTTTTTTTTTTTTTAGGTCTCCTTTTAATTAGTCAAGCACTTTTTATGATACAGGTTATCTCCTTTGTTACCTCATTAGCTTTGTGACTCTGTTTTATAGCTTTGTTGGTTCTTTGTTTTTTCATTTTATTAATTGCTTTAGGATCTGTAGTATACATCTTTAAATTATCATCATCAGACTTAACCGATATTATACTATTTTACGTATAGTACAATATAAGAACCTTCTAATAGTGTGTTTCCATTTCTACTCTTTTGGACTTTATGTTATGGTGTGATGTATTTTACTTTTACTTGTCTTATAACCTGACAATACACTGTTATTCTTTTTTGTTTAAAAAGTTTATCTTTTAAGGAGTTTTAAGTAATAAAAGAAATATTGTATACTTACTGTCATCATTATCATTTCTGGTACTATTCGTTTCTTTTCATAGTTCTGTATTTCTGTATGGTATCATATTTTATCCGCCTGAAATATTTCCTTCAATATTTACTGTAGTGTGAGGCTGCTGCTGATGAATATTTTAAACTTTTTCTGCTGAAAATTTTGCTTTTTTTTTTTTTAAGATTTTTTTTCTAGGTATAGAATTCTAGGTTGAGGGTTGTTTTCTTTCAGTATTTTAAAGATGTTGTTTCACTCTTTCCAATTAGAAGTGTGATACCATTCTCATCTTTGTTCTTCTCTATATAATAGGTTCTTTTTTTCTGAATGCTTTTTTTTTACAAGATTTATTTATTTATTATTGAGCATGGGGTGGGGGTGGAGAGGAGGGGCAGAGGGAGTCTTAAGCACATTTCACACTGAGTGTAGAGCCAACTGTGGGGCTCCATCTCACTATCCTGAGATCACGACCTGAGCCGAAACCAAGAGTTAAACACTTAACCAACTGCACCACCCAGGCTCCCCTGTCTAATTGCTTTTAAGATAATTCTTTTTATCACTGGTTATGTGAAACTTAATTATGATGTTTCTTTGTGTATTTTTATTCATGTTTCTTGTGTTTGGAGCCTTTTTGAGCTTTTTTGATTTGTGAGTTCATAGTTTTTATAGGGTTTTGGAAAATTTTGGCAGGTATTTCTTTTCTTTTTTAAGTTTTTTTATTGTTATGTTAATCACCATACATTACATCATTAGTTCTTGATGTAGTGTTCCATGATTCATTGTTTGTGCATAACACCCAGTGCTCCATGCAGAACGTGCCCTCCTTAATACCCATCACCAGGCTAACCCATCCCCCCAACCCCCTCCCCTCTGGAACCCTCAGTTTGTTTTTCAGAGTCCATCGTCTCTCATGGTTCGTCTCCCCCTCCGACTTACTCCCCTTCATTCTTCTCCTCTTGGCAGGTATTTCTTAAAAAAAGTTTTTTTAATTAACATATAATGTATCATTTGTTTCAGGAGTACAGGTCTGTGATTCATCAGTCTTACATAATACACAGCGCTCACCACAACACATACCAGATATTTTTATTGGGCTTTTCTTTTTCTCTTTTCCTTAAGGAACTCCCATTACCCATACATTAGGCTGCTTGAAGTTGTTTTACAGCTCACTTATGTTATTTTCATTAAACCAAATTTTATTTTTCTCTTTCCTTTTCATTTTAAATGTTTTATTGCTGTGCTTTTGAGTTTACTCTTTTTTTGTCAATGTCATATCTGCTGTTAATACCAGTGTATTTTTTCATCTCAGAATTTCAATTTTTGACTTTTTAAAATATCTTCTATGATCTACTTAAGTTTTTGTACATGTAGAATACATGCTCTTAATAACTGTTTTGATGTTCTCTTCTGCTAATTTCAACATCTTGT